TCATATCCGGTCACATGGGCGGCAAGCCACTCCCATCTGGTCACATGGGCAGCAAGCCACTCCCACAAAGGAGGCCACACCCACAGAGTAGATTCAAACAATTTTTGAAACCCACTACTGAGCAAACCCCAAACTTATTAACACCAATGATGTTATCTGGTTGGATAATGAAATGTCGGCAAAGCTCAGAGAGCACCAAAGATTCTATAGTTCAGCCCTGAGCTAAATGTGAACTTATTTGACAGTTACATATCAGGCTTTCCTGATGCTTAAGGTATTGCTAACTAGCTGTCCCACTGGACCATTTTGCAAAGCAAAGTGCTTCCATCCTCTCATGATACTACACCTCAGGGTTAGCCAGTATAAGAATGAGAAAATGAAAAAGAAAATGTGCTTCGTGTGACATTGGTTACATCATAATCGAATGGTATCTATGTTGCTGAGAGAGTTTTCAAAGGGGATTCGAACAATTCATGGAGGAGTTGGGAATGGAGCTGCCCACCATGGTTCTTTGGTCGGGAGGACTAGGTGGAAGTCCGTCTTCAGAAGCAGGTCGGGAATATTGCTGCCAAGCTTGCAGAGATATCAGGTTGGGGAGGAGAATTCAAATAAATTTTTGCCTTCAGTTCCTCAAGAGGGTGTAGGAAGTTAACACCCACCCCTCTCTTAGAAAAATGAAAATATCCTGGGAAATATTGAAAAGGCAGAATATTATATTTTCCTGGATAAGAAATGGAGAAACGTGTTTTTAGGCAGGAAACAGACTCACTCTTAATAGCCTCCACCTTTGTCAATGGGCGATTAAAAGGCCTGAGCCAGTCTTCTACATAACAAAGATCTCCCCTCTTGAGCTCCAGGGTGATGGGATTAAGGCATGATTAGCCCTTTACCCATCTTCCCACAGGGCACCTGGGAAGAAGCAATGCTCAACCAAACTTGGACTCCAAACACAGCCTACAGATTTGCCCCTGCATGGCCCCATAGGAGTCTGACAACCAATCAGAATACAAGCTCAGGTTCAAAGCCCAGAGAGGGCATAAATAGCAATAGCAATAGCAGTTAGACTTATATACCGCTTCATAGGGCTTTCAGCCCTCTCTAAGTGGTTTACAGAGTCAGCATATCGCCCCCAACAATCCGATAGATAGATATATAGATATATAGACAAACAGAC